CCCTCAATTTGGATCAAGAATTTCACAAGGACTTCAATCTGGGAGGATATCATTTCCATGGTGCTGGTGACAACAGAGACTCAGGGAGGGAGAATGGCTTGCCCTTGTGAAATGAGAGATTTGTTTTTTGGTTTTTTTTTTTTTTTTTTTTTTAGGTGATCCCCTCTTCTGGGTCCTCAAGTGACTCTCACGGAACACCAGGATTAATTCTTAAGGCTGGTTTGCTTCTCATTAGTGTTTCAGGGCACTGAGACAGAGCTTATGAGAGAGGGCCTTAGAGTTTGCATATGTGAGTATGCCATTCCAGCTTCTAGACTTGGATGGAATCTATCTGTGTTCTCTGCTCCAGATTCAACTCCCCAGCATGCAAGCCACACCCCCTCACGTCTCATCATGCATTCGCCTCTCAGAGGCATGCTCTGCAGTCTTTGTAAAAAGTTTCATCGTTTTGTATGAACCTTCCCACACAGCTGAGCAGCTCCCTTGCGCACCATCACATTTGTTTACTTGAAATGGAAAGTCGGGATTTGCAAATCTATTTTGATTTGATTTTTTGCAAGTAAAAAATTAAGCATAGATGAATATAACCCAGGATATTTTATTCTTTCTTGCTCCTCCCATCCAACCTGTGGTCCTATTTCTCCAAGGAAAGATTGGTTTATCGTCCCACTGTCCCACCCAGACTGCTCCTTTCTTCGCTGTTTATAAAAACACTGCTGGGAAATTAAAACAAGAAATGCTCTTTTCCAGAGACACTGAAGCATATCTGAGCTTAGGCAAATGACGTTGTTTTAAATGATATCAGAAACTTGGAGCTGAGTACTGAGCTGTGTGGACACCTTGTAAATGGTTAATTACGATGGTGGAGATGATGGAGCCATCCACTGACCCGCCAGAAAAAAACAAGAGAAAACCTTCAGTCTGCAGACCACAGACTCAGCTAGGGGACCGATGCTCGCTCGCTCTGAATATGGATTTCAGGACACTTCCAATCACCCTCCATCTGCAGGATTTAAGCCCCCAAGGCCAGACCATCTATTTTTCACATTTGATTTGGGCTGGGACCTGGGGCAGAAGCAGATCTCATTCCCCCTCCCCCTCACTACCCTCCCCCTCACTACCCTCCCCTGTGCCTCTGTAGCTCTGTTATTTCTCCTATTAATATCTCATCAACATCGGGCAGGTGCTTCCTGTACAGAGGTTCTTCATTAACAAGTTGTCAATGGGACAGAGAGTCAGATCCCCACTGCTGAAGGAAATGGGCATAAGAGCGGCAGGAGGGGGCCTGAGCACCTCCTGCATGACAACTACCCTTTCTATCGGGTCTGTGTTTTCCCAACAGACTTAAATTTGGATTCACCTATCTGACTTCGGAAAACTTTCCTGGAACTTCCTCCTTAAGCAAACATTTGTTCTCAAATTAAATCTATTTTTATGCTTAATGTAATATCTGAATCAGCAGTTTTTAAATACTCAATATATCTTTAAATGCTAACAGACAACAAGTATAGCAGGTGTTTAATTGTGGTTTAAAGATCCACATTGTTCACATTTTACAATCACAATTAAAATTAAGCAATAACACCAAAGGAGTTCCGGTATACGGCAATAATACTTACCAGTATAGTGAAATTGATAAGGATCCAGATATAATGATGCCCATTGTAGTAACCCTGTGGTGACTGATTGCTATTCTGCTGTTAGCAAACAACCAAGAAATACTTTATTTTTTCAGAATTATCAATTTGTTTCTAGGGTATGTGAACAATGGAAACCTTAAGGGAGAATGCAATAGTTAGTGAGGTATTAAAACAGTTATATAACTAATAAAAACACTAAATCAACTTAGATATGCAGCAGTGTGTCATTTCCATTTTAATAAAAAAGTACATTATTCTCTTCCCGAAATTACAAAATTTTATTTTTTTTTTACTCCGTGCCAACATATTTGGAAAGTAAAAAAGTCATAAATCTACGGTTTCTGGAATTGTCACTTATGTGATTCTCTAGTCCTTAAAAAAGATGGAATAAAAACAGGCATTTTCATAAAACGATCGATTTGAAAAATTATTTGCATTCACTGCTTGTGATTTTTTTCTTGGGGAGGATGGAAGGGGGAGCATGGGGACTTGTAAATAAAACACATTTGATTTTCCTAGCATCCCTGTATGCTGAGCATTAAGATCTCTAGAAGTGCCTGCTCGAAAGGCCATGTGTGGAGATGCTTTATTGGGAGAAGTCTTCACATTCTCCTTTATGCAGCCCTCACAGTAACAAAGGCCCAGTCAATGGGTCAGACTCCCAGTCAATGAAATCCAGTTATCTGCAAGATGGGAGACAACTGGGTAATGCACACATATTTCTTCTCTGAAAAAACAGAGGCAGACTTATCAAGGGACCACAGGATGGTTTCCAAGTACCCTTGAAAATTCCCATAGTTTATTGCCTGGGTTGCTAGTGAATACCGTCCCACAGGAAAGAGCCAAAGTAGCTCTTGAAGGATCTAGATGTAGAATTTTAGGACTGCAAAATCATTTGAGAAGACCTGAAGAAAAAAGGCAGGAACAAGAAAGGAATCCATTCAGGGCACTGTGTTGCATTTTTTCACCCAAGTCCCCTGGAGCAATGGTCTTTGCCCTCCCTGATCATTAGTATCCCACAGAGAGCTTTTAAATGAGTGAGTGTGTGTGTGTGTGTGTGTGTGTGTGTGTGTGTGTGTGTGTGCGCGCGCGCATTGATGCTTCCCTCTGGGCCAGTTAAAACCAAATCCCTAGGGACAGGGCCTGGGTAAGTCTGACACATGGATGCACATCACCAAGAAACTTGGGGGTGGAAGCCTTTGCCTTAAAATCTGTGCACATTTTGCAATTTGATTCAATGAAGTATTTTTGTTTTAGTAATTAACTATATAGGTTTCTTTTTCTCTAAATATTCAGGTACAATCAATGAACCAGGGTAGTGTGCCATAAGACCCCTGTGACTTGCCCTCCACCTGAGAGTATTAAGAATACCAGAAAAGTAAGGATCTGACTCATTGCATAAATGAAGAAACTGAGGCCCAGAGAAGTAAAGTCCTTCGGGATTTCTTATGACACTCTACCATCTGCTCTTTTGTACCATATGTAAAGGGCAACTTAGTGATGAAATACTCTGGATTCCATTCAAAAGAACATAAGGAAATATGAAATGGCTGGAAAGTCTGATAAAAGAACACGCTAACAATGGCAGTTACGATTTACTGAGCCCCTGCTAAATATCAGAAATTTGCATATTCATACATTCATTCAACAAATTTTATTGAATATTATTATAGGAATAGCACTAATCTAGCCACCTGGAGATACCATAGGTATCAGTATGCGACATGATCTCTGATTTCTTGAAACTTCAGGCTCCTGGAGAAAACTAACATTCACCAAGAGCCACAGTAATATGATAATAAGAAATAGGTAGTAAAAAATAACAAGGACTTGGGATACCTGGGTGGCTTAGTCCATTAAGCTGCTGCCTTCAGCTCAGGTCATGATCCCAGGATCCTGGGATAGAGTCCCGCATCGGGCTTGTGTGCACTCTCTTTCTCTCTCTCTCTCACACACACACACACAAATAAATAAATAAAATTTTTAAAAATAAATAAATAAATAAAAATAACAAAGACCTGTAATAAGTGCTCTGAAAGGAATTTGGTTTCATTAGAACAACAAAGAAAGATGATCTATGGAGGAGACTTGAGAAAGAATGGGACACCTAAGCTGAGATCATGAGAAGCAAATGGGAGTTCATCAAATGGTGGGGGATGAGAAGGTAAGGAAAGAGCATCACTTACAGAGAAAATAGCATGTGCAAGTGTCCTGTGGTAAGAGAAGGCAAAGCACTTTGGAAGACTTGGGAAGGGGTCAGAGTGGCTGGAACAGAAGACTGGAGGGGCAGGTTAAGGCCACGCATTTATGAGATCTAATGTTTGTAACCATCTCACATGGAAGGTGTTTTGGATCCCATTTTATACCAGAGAAAACCAAGGCCCAGAGTTTACTTAACATAATCCAGGATCACACCACTAGTAAGTGCTGAGTGAAAATTAAGCATATCTGCTTCCCTGGAGTATCCCATTTTATGCCCTGGCACTGCTCAAAAATACTCAGAGTAGACAAAGGATCTTCAGAGGTTGCCTATCATGCCTCCATGTGGGTAATGTATCCCCTCTGCTTCACATCAATAAGCACCATGCTCAGAAGCTCAGACTGCAGACTGGGCCAGTGTTGAATGGAGTACAAGAGAATAAGCCAGAGTCAAAGAACAGTGAAACAAACAAAGGACCACTATAGAAGAGCTTAGACGGCCGGTGCAATCTAAAATCTACGTGGAATTTTCATATTGTTACAAATAGCTTTTTTTAGTACCATCATGATGTTTTTAGCTGCACTTAAGAAAAAAACTCAACTTTAAATGGTTTAAGCTATGAAGATATTTTATTATTTCACATAACATAAGCACCAAGGGAGGATGAATCCAGAATTTACTCATTAAGAGACTCAGTGAAACCATTAAGGACCAACTTTTTTCTGCTCTATTGTCTTTAGCTTCTTTTCCTCAATGACTGTCCACAAGAAAGTTGGTCACAAGAAAGTTGCCATAGTTCAGGTTTCACCTGCTGACAGGACAACAAGCAGCAGGAAAACACCATTTCTTCCTGATGTTTCCTATTCCAGAGTGAGGAAACATTTTCCCGATGTCTCTGCACCAACAGACTTCCCCTCAGATCTCAGTAGCCAAAACTGGGTCATATGCCCACCCCACACCATTGACTGTCTAGGGCAATGAGAAGACCACACATGACTTAGACAAATCAGGATTTTCCCCCCAAGGTAGGGATAGCATCACCTGAAAAGCAATTGTATGTGCAAAATTGGAGTTCTGTTAACAAAAATTTAGGGGGGCTTAGTTGAGGTAATCAATAGTATAGTTTCTACTCTGCTTGATTTGTTCAGAAAAAGTCCCACCTTCTGGGCAGCAGGGATTCAATGACATCAGGTTCATCAATGGTGCTCCCAATCAGTTCAATGTGGTAAACATAAGTCAATAAACAATAGGTAGGAAGAAGACAGTCTAACTTTGCATCCTGGATCTCTCCATGTGAGAGGAAGAGAATAAGACCAAATCCTAGGCAGCAGCCAACTGTGACAACTTTGAAGAAGTCATCAAACCTGCAGTTGTATCCCGTGTCCAAGTTAACCTGCAACACATGAGGGTCAGCCACACATTTGGGCAAGCCAGCCCTAAACCCAAGGACAGAGTTTAGATGATCTTGAGAGTCCATTTTCAATCAGTGGGATGAAAATCACAGGGCGATTATTTGGCAAGTCCTTCTCTATGCTTCCATCTCAGGGGACCAGGGCGAGCTATACACATTAATTAGGAAAGATCCGTGGTCCTCCTGAGATGAGAGTAGGGCTGGAGTCACAACTGCCCATCACAATAAGCTCTGAGGACAAATAAGCCCTACCCAGCACCTTTCCTGAGGTTCCGTGGCAAATGACATTGACACTTAACAACTAGTGGGGGATTCACAAACCACTTTCAGACACACACGCACAAAAAAGAAAAGTCACATGCATCTGAGTTGCAAACAGGACCCCCAGCAAACTTGTAGTTAGGGGTTTTGTGTAATGTCACATCCCCCGTGCTCTCGCAGGTATCTCCATTCAACTTGATAATTCCTATAGGGTAACTCTGGAGTTTCTGGTAAACATTTATTTAAAAAAAAAAAAAAGCTACTCATCTATAGTGTAGCATGAAATAAAAGTAAAAGCAAGAGTTTAGGGGTCAGATGTCACCTCTCCTCTTTCCTGGCTGTGTGATCTACTTGGTGTCTCTAAGCCTCCACTTCCTCCTCAATACCAAGGGAATTCTTCTGGTGGGGTTGTGAGGATGGAGTGAGAGAATAACAATACGTGCTACTGACAATGTCTGACACACGGTACGTACTCAATAGCCACCAGGCTGTGTGAGACTGGAGGAGTCACGCTGTAAACAGGATGCCAACAAGCAGGATCAGACAGTCACAGGACATGTGGGAAGAAATACATGCTCAGGAAACAGGGATCCTAGGATCAGCAGATCACAGAGACAAAAGAGGCCTGAAGGCTACATAGAAGTACTTTCTCATACTACACTCCAGGCATAATGGAAGCTTCTTGTTCCCCAGGAATTTAGGGAGGTTGACATCCCTAGAAAACTTCTATAGGTTCATTCTATGCTTGCAATATTGTAATCCCACAATGTGACATTTCTCGCTGTTATCACTCTTTAAGTCTCCATTTGTGCACCCAACACACATTTATTAGGTATGTACTATGGACCAGTAGCTATAGAGGTGAGTTTAGGGCTCCATGCTTGGCATTTTACCTACCTTTTTTTTTTTTTTTCAGATTTTATTTATTTATTTGACAGAGAGAGAGAGTCTGTTAGAGAGGAAATACAAGCAGGGGGAGTGGGAGAGGGAGAAGCAGGCTTCCCACTGAGCGGGGAGCCCGATGTGGGGCTCGATCCCAGGATGATGAGATCATGACCTGAGCTGAAGGCAGATGCTTAACGACATTTTATTTACTTAACAATAATCCTAAAGATCAACTACTACTGACCCCATTTAAATGTGAAAGCCTGGTATATCTCAGAAAGCCTGGGTATATCTCAAAACCACAGCTTGTGAGTTGTAGAGATCAGATTTGAACCCCAGTCTACCTATGTTTTGCCACAAAAATGCTGCCAAAAAACAATACCAAATATCAGTAAATTAAACTTACATCCATTTATTCTTAGCAATCTGCAGACCAGCAAAGAGCCATTTGATCCAGGCTAGGCTTGATTCAGGGTGAATCTGCTCCCAATGCCTACCATCTTTCTGGGAACATCAGGCTATCTTGGACATATTGTTCTCATGAGCATGGCAGACACCCAGAAGGGCAAATCCAGCTGTGCAAGCACTTTTCAAACTTGGTAGCATCATCTGTGCTAAAGTCCACTGGCCATAGAAAGCTACATGGACAAACCCAGATAAGTCAGAGTAATACACTCTAGCTTTTAGTTTCTGGACCTACCAAGTCATATGGCAAAAGGGTGAAGAATTAGGGCCATTCAGGTAATCCACCAGTAGGAGTCTGATTTGCAAACCTACACACTTTCCTCCATCCTGCCAGCCTCCCAACAAAAGCGAATAAATACAATACCCTATAATTCTCCAATAGAAAGACATTGAAAATGCTGGGAAAGTATGGTGGAAGGGCCATGTCACTCTTCCCAGGGAGGCAGAGAAGAGGTACAGCAAATAATGACTACTGAAAGAATGTAATCATGTGCTACTGTCTCCTGGCTGAGACGAGGAACAGCACAGGCATGAAAATGCCAAGCTCTGGCCTCAGCAAGTCCATCACAGCGGGGGGGAAAGCCTGGGGAATGGAGGAGACTTTTGATGACTCAGATCAAACCAGGATACAAGCAACAACTGGAACTGAAACTCTCTGTGGTTTGCCTATGCCAGGCATCAGCTCACTGGAGAGATGGATGTTATGATCAGTTAAACAATTTCATCAAACTTCACACTGTAACCCTTGGGCAAAACCAGAAATAATAATTCACTGGTAAGAGTTTAGTAGCTAGAGGTGGACCCAAAACTCTGACAGAAGAGTGGCATCCAGTGGCCAAGGGTTAATTTGCAATGAGCCACAGCTGCAGGCAGGCAGATATGGCAGTTGCTGGCTAACCACACCCCAGTGGATGTTCAACAGACCACAAGAAGGGGCAGTCACCAGCTGGGAGCCTGCAAAGGAGAAGACTCAGCCAATGACAAAGACAGAGAGGGTCACCCTCCTCCTGGAAGAACATAGCAACATTCTGAGTTTCCTTCACTCATGGTGTTCCATTTTTTCGTGAGACCCCAGTTCTCCTGAATTAGAAGTTCTGACGGAGGAGCCTAGTCACCTGTGTTTCCACAAGCCCTCCAGATGATTCTGAGAACCACTGCGTCAGAGCACGAGGGAGTGGTTCCTGAGAGGAAGTACAACTTCAGCTGGACCTTGAAGAAACTAGAAAATGGGAGAGACCTTGTGTAAATCAACCCAGAAGGCAGAGCAGCAGCCATGAGAGTGACCCACTTAAGGACCCCTTAGGTGACTGTCTGAACAGAGGACAGGGTGATTCGGAGTGGTAGACAAAAAAAGATTAACTACGGGATGCCTGGGCGACTCAGTCCATTAAGTGCCTGCCTTTGGCTCAGGTCATGATCCTGGGGTCCTGGGATCCAGCCCCATGTCTGGCTTCCCTGCTCAGCAGGGAGTCTGCTTCTCTCTCTCTCCCTCTGACCCTCGGCCCTCCATCCTCCGACCTCCACCCTAGCCCCTGCTCATGCTTTCACTTGTTTGCATGCTTTCTCTCTCAATGAATAAATAAAAAATCTTTTTAAAAAATAACTAGACTGAGTGCGCTCGGTGTGTAGTTTTAGAAAATCTTGAAAACTGGCTACAAAAACGTTTGGACTTCTTGCAACGCAAGATAAAAGATTTTTACTCTACTGAGAGAAAAGGGCAAGAGGATAGTGAGAAACAGGGAGAACAACGACTCACCCGAGCATATCCTCCAACAGTGACGCCTTCTTTTGAAAACACATTAAAAGAACATGGTGTGAAAGCAAGAGCCAGCTATCAATAAGCAACCCAAACATCAGTGGTTAGACAGTGAGACCCAAATGGAAGTTCAAGGATGTCACCTTCGTTTAGTGCCCTTCCCTGGGCCTCACCCCATCTCCTGCCCCACAGCACCTCCTCCCCACCACGATGACAACCAGGGACAAAAAGATTTAAAGAAAAGTAAGTGAAGCAACACTGTAAAGACCAGTTTCAAAGTGTGAGAGGCATTCTGGTTTTAGAGACAGCTTCTAAACTCCCTCTTGAGAAACTGCTGGTAATTTTGTGGGGATTAGGGACTGAATTTTTTGTCTTAATTAATTTAAATGTAAATTTAAGTAGTCACATGTGGCTAATGGCTACCATAGTGGATAGTATAATTCTAGATCACTGAAAAATTGTGAAAACTTCCCAACAGGATAGGCTCTCCCTGACCCCAAAACATGATAAAATGAGCACAAAAGATTATAGGCCAATCTTACTTATATACAAGTAAAAAAAAAAAAAACCTTAGTAAAATAAAATGTATGTAATCCAGATCATTATTTTAAATATGCATGCACACACATACACCCTGATCAACTTAAAATTACTTCAATATTTCCAGAAAATTTATTAATGTGATTCATTGCATTATAAGTTAAAAAGAAAAGATGATCTTGATAAATACCAATAAGCTATCTAATAAAACTCAACATTAATGTCTGATTTGTTTTTGAAGATTTTATTTATTTATTGAAAGAGAGAGAGAGAACATGGGGGTGGGGGAACGGAGGGAGAGGGAGAAGCAGACTCCCAGCTGAGCAGGGAGTCCAACTCAGGGCTCCATCCCAGGACCCTGGGATCATGACCTGAGCCAAAGGAAGGCACTTAACCCATTCAGCCACCCAGGCACCCCAGTGCCTGAATTTTTAAAACGAAAAAAACTCTTGGGGCACCTGGGTGGCTCAGTCATTAAGTGTCTGCCTTTGGCTCAAGTCATAGTCCCAGGGTCCTGGGATTAAGCCCCCTATCCGGCTCCCTGCTCGGCGGGGAGCCTGCTTCTCCCTCTCCCACTCCCCCTGCTTGTGTTCCCTCTCTCTGTGTCTCTCTCTGTCAAATAAATAAATAAAAATATTTTTAAAAAAAGGAAAAATATTTAAAATATTTAAAATATTTAAAAAAAATTTTTTAATAGGTTACAAATCAGACTTTAACTAACTTAAAAGAATTAAATCATGCAAAATATTTTCTCTGACCATAACATAACTAATCTATAAATCAATAACAGAGGAATAACGGGAAAATTTTAACATACTTAGAAATTAAACAGCACACTTCTAATCCATGGATAAAAGAAAAAAATTTCCAAGGGAAATTGGAAAATATTTTCCTTTATTTTTTTAAAGATTTTATTTTTTATTTGACACAGAGAGAGAGGGCACAGCAGGGGGAAGGGCAGAGGGAGAGGGAGAAGCAGACTCTCCGCTGAGCAGGGAGACCTACGTGGGGCTCCATCCCAGGACCATGGGACATGACTGAGCCAGCCCATGGCAGCTGCTTAACTGACTGAGCCACCCAGGCGCCCCAGAAAATATTTTAAACAGAACAAAATTTTCAGAGCAAAATTCATAATATTAAATTATTGTGTTAAAGAATT